GGCCTGGCCGTGATGAAGGGGAAGGCACGTCCCATGGAACCCTGTAAGTCATCAATACCAGTGGCTAAGTTCTCCTTGCCTCTCTTTCTGGGGAGTCCCCTAACATAGCTGCTCTTCCACAAACGCTGTGAGCACATGCTAGCATGTTTCAGAGCACTCGTGTTACAGCAGGAACAAAGGTACTGGACTAGCCAGGCCAGGCAGCAAGTAAAGACAGGACGCAGATTGGGATGGGCACTGGGGGCCAAGCACAAGGGGTCAGCAGGTGGGGAGGCTTGCTGGACTTCTGCCCCTGGGATCCCGGGGCTCTCATCCTGCTTCTAGGATCATTTCCAAGCGGCCATAGGCCAGCCACCCACGTGCCCCAAGCCTTGGCCTCTGAACACACAGAACGTGAAAAGAAGTAGCCTCGTGTACTTTATCACTGTTACTATCTCATCCCTAGCGCTGCGGTGTCACCAGTGTGGTCCTGAGCCAGGGCTGCCTACTATAGGTGGACACCGCCTAGTGCTGTGGACACATCCTATAAATTATTACATGTTGCGGGAGTCCTTACAGAATAAATCCTGTTTAAAATGAGTCATCAGGGTTCATTATTTGAAACAGGGTGACTTTGTTGATCAACATGAACATTTTGTTTGAATGTCAGGATAATGTCCAGCTGTGACTGGTGCTGGACCAAACAGAGAAGACCCTGCTGGAATTCTACAGATGGATCCAGGTACCTAGACACAGGGTTCAAGCAAGTGAGGGGATGGCAACGCAGGCGAGGAAAGGGAACTGCAGAGCGCTCAGAAGCAGAAGGAGGATCCAGGGCCAAGCTGATCTTCCTTCAGAGAAGATCGCAGGTGGTCAGCTCTCAGACTTGGCCCTTGGCTCTCAGGCCAACAGCCTGGCCAAGAGCCTGCATGAGGGAGCGATATGACGTCTGTGAGGGCAGGCGGCCTAGTGGGAAGGCTATGGCAGAGGCGGCGTTGAGCTGGCTCAGGCTCGATGCACTGCCCCCCTCCTCCCCAGAGAGAGGGGCCAGGCCCAGGCCAGGCTGTGGCTGAGGAGCAAAGGACCGAGGCTCCCCTCCTGCCTGCATGTCTTACGAGGAGCCAGTGGATGAGAGACGGTGAGATGGGCTCACCTGACCCTTGATCAGTAGCCAGGGACTGCCTGGGGCACTGCGTGGGGCAGATTCTGAGGTCGCATCTGTGACCACCGTGATGGGGCAGGAGTAGGGAGGCAAGTTTCAGCTCTCGGGCCACCGATTTGTGGGGCAGGCCTAGGTGCACCCCAGGCTGCTGTTTCCTCCTGCCCTCGTCCTGTCCCTTCCACCTCCTGACTGTACTGCTTCTTGAGCAGCTCAGTGGGCTGAGCGCCAGGGCACGGTAGCCCCGGGTCCCCTCCCGTGAGAACCAGCCCCCAAACTGCTCCTGGAAGTTGAACTCGCCAGCCTCACTCCTCTGTATTCTGAGATTTTAACCTTCGTCCCCCTCAGCTGTCCAATTTCCTCCCACAGGGCAGAGATTTCTGAGCGGTGCTGGAGCAGACCCCGAAGTCCTCCTCCCATGACCTTAGCCTCTGGGACAGGCTGCTAGACCCTCTTCAGGGCGCCCTCTCTCAGACTGTGGCCATAAACTTTCCTACCAGTCCCACAGCACTCTTTGCTTCAATTCCTTACATACATGGTCTCTTCCCCCAAAGCCAAGAGCCTTGCCACCTTCTCAGAAGTGAAACTACAGAAGCCGCGAGGCAGAACCCCTCCACGGCGGCCCGGCCGTGGCCTTCGTCCACTCGTTTTCAAGGCTCTTCACCAGACATTTCTCTTTGGTCTGTAACTCCATCTCCTCTGCAAATATGCCTCTGCTACGGTCCTATTTTTAAGACACTGGCATAGGCACAGGCCCATGTCGACTGGCTGTGAAGTGGGGTTTCACAAGGGGACGTGAGCACCCCAGAAATCTTGGTAGCTGTCATGATTATTGTACAGAGTGGGCTTAGGACTCCATGACGCGGAGGGATCCCGACGCGGGCGGACATGGTTTCAGATCCTTTTACTTGCCCGCTTTGATGTCTGCCCTCTACTTGACCTTTTCAATCCCTTATCTTGTTCTGATAGCAAGGAGAATTTATGGCAACCCAGCAATCTCCCTGGCAAGACTAAATATAATTTTGCACAAAAGGATGGAGGCAGGCAGTGGACTCTTTGATGATAAAACCAAACTCACGGCCTCTGACCAGTGGAGCGGGAGTCAGTCCAGACCAGCCTCCTCCAGATTGCTCCTGGCAAGTGTGTTGGGACCTCGGATGGGTGTCTGGAGGGAATGGGGAGGAATAGGGAGCAATCTGACACCCTCCAAACCCTGATGCGGTTTGGTCCCTAGTGGGATGGGGAGAAGCTGCGAGCCAGCAGGACAGTCAGAGCCCTGGGCTGGGTGGGCAGTGACCTGGAGACTCTGCCAAGCAGCAAAGGTGGCAGGAGGTAGCAGAAGGGTCCACAGGAACCTCGGAGGAGGATGGGGCGCATAGGTGGGCCGAGATGGCCATGGAAAGGACACTCACTGCCTCGCTGCTCTCCCCTTGTCCCCACTTCCTTTCCTCTCTTAAATTCACCTCCTCCTCTCTGAACAGGTGTTACAGCGCCCCACGCCCCTGCCTTCTCTCTGTGGCCTCCTATCTGCTTGCCCTGGCTCGGCCACATGGAGGGTACCCAGGTCCAGTCTCAACCAGGGGCTGCAGGTGGACAGTCTTTAAGGAGCCCAGGCCAACACCCTGATCTTGGCATGGACACCAATTGTCATGGCCTCGTGCCTGAGGAACACCCCAAAGCTGTGATTTTGCTGCCTGCCTGACCCCAGGTGCCTGCCACCAGCTGCTCTGTCCCACATTGCATGCCCTGCAGCTGATCTGGAGAGCCGGCATGTCACTCAGCCAGGAGCAGATAGAAGTTGGAAGTGTCCCCTGCCCTGACTGCATGTTGACAAGGGTGCTTGGAGCCCTGACAGGAAGATGGGGAGGTGAGAAAGCATGGAGACCTTATGGCGGGGAGTTTGTCCTGGGCTGCTTCAGCTAAACTCCATGCCACCACCAGGCTATTGTCCAGCCCTCTGTTGTTCCCCGTGCTTGGCTGGTCCTGCCGCCCATCCACACCCTCACACCCTCCATTCTTGCCTACACCCTCACCCCGAGCCTGCCTTACCCAGCCCTCCTGGCCCTGGCCTGCCTTTCATACGAGGCGGCCTCTCCTATGCCCGACCCCCATTTTCTCTGCTGACGTCAGCCCACGCAGCTCACAGACCTTCTCCTTTCATCGCTTTGGTCAAAACAAGTGACCCGTCCCCACTGACTTCACCTCTTTTGAAATCCCGACTCTGAGTCAACATTTTCTTCAGTGCTTCCCACACACCAGGCTTGCCATGTTAACCCTTTATCTCTGTGCCCCCTCTTCCCAGAGGGCCTCCCACAGCAGACATGGGGCGCACAGAGGAATCTCCGTGTCCAGCGGACTGTGGTACAGTCAGTTATGAGATGGGGACGAACTCAGGTGTGTAGGTGTGGTCTCTGGGTGGAGGGGCAGTGATTTTCAAGCAAAAGCTTTCATTTTGAGAGGGTGGCCAGGACCAGTGAAAACCATTGGTCCAAGGGCTGTCCCCTCCTGCTACCCCGGGGGGGGGAGGGGTTCCTGTTTCTATGCCTGCTCTGCCCAAGCAAACGCCCTGCCTAGTCAGCTGCTGCCCAGGCCCCGCCAGCGTCACGGGGTGCACTGGGCCAGGCCCTCACCAGCCATGTGCCCATTCAGGGCCCAGCCAGGCCCTCTCCCTGCCTGCCTCTCCTTGGGTGCCGAGATTTGCTCTCGACGTACCTAAGGTGCTTCCAGCTTGGAAGGCCTCGAGGACGCGGCCCTCCTGTCTCTCGTGGGTGGATCACCGCTGAGTGTCCTCTAAGGGGAACACTGTGGAGCCTGCTCAAAGGGAGTCACACAGTGGGAACTCAACTGTGACTGGCCTTCTGTCTTCTTTAGAAATCTGATCCAGAAATTGGCTCTAAAAGCCAGTGACTTTTTCCCTCCAAAGTGTTGTCCTTTTCTCCTTCTTTTTAAATGTTTTTACCCAGACCAAGTGTTCACTGCCTCTCAGTGCCTGGTTCCTGGCCCTGGAGCCAGGTGCTGGAAACCCGCAGGGCACCCCACTCCCAGGTACCTCCAGAGTGCCTGCCCCACAAGGCCCGTTTTGCTCCATGGAGACCCACATCCTGGCACCTCCGGCAGTTACTGGGGATTTGAGAGAAGGCTGATGGGGGCAGAGCAGGGGCCGGACCCCTTGGACCAGGGGCTTGGCTCTGAGGACCCTCCCGCCCCCTTAGGCTGCTGGCCCGGACCTCCCTGTCGTACCTGAGAGGAGGGCCTGGCCCGCGAGCTGCCCGTACATGGAGGCAGCGTGGGGAAAGGCATTGAAGGGCGGGACCGAGGTGCCGGCTGCGACCCCAGAGCCGGCTTGCTGCAGGTCCAAAAAGGCGGAGCTAGATAAAGAGGAAGGGGTGGAGCTAGAACTGGACACCTCGGGGCTTTCCTGCTTTATGGCGAAGGGTGAGTGAGGATCTGCCGGGGAGGGAGACAAGGAGAGAGGGTGAGATGGCATGGGGGGCATGCACGACCGGCTATGAGATGGGGCGGGCGGCAGGCGGGAGGGGTGCTCGTCAGGCTGGGCGAAGCAGGGAGCCTCTACCTCCCTGCGGTGCCCCTGCCAGTGTGGCCGAGGGCTGTGTGCCTGCTTCTCCCGCAGCGGGGGCTGAGCAGAGAGGGTCGGACCCTCATGACCTACCAGGAGGCCCTGCTAGCACAGCCCCTGTCCTCTCCAGGCCCCGGGCCCTAATGCCTCCTCCTCAGGCCAGCCACACCCTGCCCTCCAGCCCAGCCTCCAGCCAGTTCCACGGGGCCCAGGAGATCCCAGCGTCCTACCTGCCACCACAGGGTAAGTCTGGTGAGTTGAGAGGTTGCGCCCCAAGGGTGTATTGGACGGGGTCAGGGTGGCCTTCCCGTCGTCCAGGGTGCTGTTGAGCAGGGGCAGTGGGTAGAGGCCCTGGGGAGAAAGAGAAGTCAGCACAGAGACCCCGGGGCAGCCTTACCTCACCCGGGTCCCAGGAAACACCCTTCGCTGTCCCCTCTTCCACTCACTCTTAATTCTGCTTCGCAGGCTCAGTTGGTTTTATTCTCTGACTCACATCCTCGTTCTCCTCAACCCCAAGATCACGGCTGCCCCCTCTGCCACAGCTGGTGGCCTGCGAGAGGCACGGGAGGGGGCAGCTCCTTCTGAGGGCGTCACCTGGCCTGACGCAGTCCGGTTCCTCGTCTGCTCGCAGGGTCTGAACCCGGCGAGGACAGGGTGCAGGGTAGAGCACTCAGCTCACAGAGCTGTGCCGAGCGCTTCACTCAGCTCAATAGTTCACCCCCATCCAGAGAGGAAACACAGGTACAGAGAGGTCAAGAAACTTGTCACTGTCCCACAGGGCAGTGGTCCCCAGTCTTTCTGGCACCAGGGACCGGTGCTCCTATGAGAATCTAATGCCTGATGATCTGAGGTGGAGCTGAGGTGGTGATGCTAGTGCTGGGGAGCGGCTGCAAATCTAGATGAAGCTTTGTTTGCTTGCCCGCCGCTCACCTCCTGCTGTGCGGCGCAGTTCCTAACAGGCCACGGACTGATACCAGTCTGTGGCCCAAGGGTTGGGGACCCCTGCCGTAGAAGACGGCCAGGGTTAAACCCAAGGGGTCTGGCTCCAGTGCTGATGCCCAAGCTGGTTGACATCATCACACTTCTTACATTTGCAGAGCTCTGCTTCTGCTGGCTGATCTGTCCCTGTCAGCCCTGTGACATGGGCGAGTGACGTCACATCTGCTTTCTCTGTGGGGAGCCTGCAGCCAGGATCCTGGGCAGCTGCACTGAGGATACCGCCCTGACCCTTAACCCCGGGCTTTCTCCTGCAGTGGCAGGTGGGCTCCCTCCATGTTCAAGCAAATGCTGGTGTTCAGCTCTGGCTTGGAGATGACGCTCAGCTGATGGTATTGGAGAAGCTCTTTGTCCAATACGTGGGTTCTTTTCATTCGAACCCCATCTTCAACCACTCCCAGCCTCTGCAATGAGCAGGGCCAGCTCCTTGGTGCCCCTTCCAGAAAGAAGTTGCTCCATCGAAGGCAGGAAACGCCCACTGTGACCCAGCATGCGGAGTTGCAAGTGTTACAGATGAGCTACGTGAAATTGTCAGAACTAGAGAAGGGGTGCTCCACTGAAGGCGACGCTTCCAGTGACTTCCATCCACCCGCTCTCCAAGGACACAGTGCTTTCGCTGCATGCGGGCAGTTCCGGAGGCCACCAGGGCACCAATATCGCAGCAATTGATGACTCACTGGGCTCTAGTCCCATGCCTCCCAAGGGGCCAGCTTCACGGTGGGTGGAGGTGCTGCAGCCCAGCGCAATGTGACTGAACAAGTACCTAATTTCTAGAGAG